ATATAAACTTGGCACTCCTAAACATGTTTATAGTATAAATTAACGAGATCTTAGGAAATTAAACAGTAGAAATTGCTTGTTTGGCAATGTTCTAACATCCATTACACTCAAGTATCGGATATAAGAACCTATTTAAAATCGAAAAAGAAAGGTACAAATATCTATAGTAGCGAAATCACGCGTCTCCTCTCAATTTCTTCCCTCTCCAGCGGGGATGTATAGGGCATTCGAAAAATCCACGATGGCGCGACCGACATTCCTCATGTGCAAGATGAACCTGGTAGTTATAACCAGTGTGTTATGCACTTGTGACAATACCGCTCGATGTAACTTTGCAGTAAGATCCTTTCGTGCAGAATATCTAAGGTTTTCGTAAACAGTGGGTTCTGAAACCTTTGTGAGCGAAGTTTCAGGTCGGATCAAGATCATTAATATTTCAGGCAAAACCTGCGGCAAGTTCAAGAGCGAGGAACGAGAAAAAAAATTAAATGTCACGATTCTCCCAGAAAGTCTGTCTATAGGGCTGTCTGACCCGCTGATCATGAAAGTCATATTTCATTTGCAAGATAGCTTCTTACTGTAGGGCTACAGTAGGCAGTTTTTTGAGTGAACATGGATTTCTTCAAAGTTTGCTAGCGATTTACTCCCTCACAGCAAAAGACTTTCTGCGCTTTTCTCTGCTGCTAAAAACTAGGGAGGCTGCTCTATCGGGTAATGCTTACGGGAGCCCTCATCTGCAGAAAGCACTGAGTTGCGCTCACATAAACACCCGTCCGCAGAACGGAAGTGAAGACCTCAGATCAACGCGAAACTCAGCTCAGATGGGCAATATGGCATGCATGTTACAGCACTAACTCAAAATTTGCTTTCTAGGTGCTGGTGTAGACTTGCGGTAAATTGATAATTTCTGGACCACCGAAATTCACTGCTCTTTCTCTCGGCTTCGAAGAAAAACCTTTGACTGGTTTTCTAACGAGGATGTTATAAAGACACAGCTATACTGAAAAATAATCAATAATACTTTTTATGTGCAATGTGCGCTGTGATATGTTATTGTGAAAACACGTCCTCACGAAAATATTATGCTCATTATACGCAGCTAAATCACTTATGCTAAGTAACAACGTCTGTACTCTACAGCATGACGTCATAATAAATATTAGCTACCACGGAACAGGAAATGACCTTAAGATCACAACTGTCGATCTTGGTAAAATGCTTATCCAAAGCGCCTCGATAAGGGTACTACCTTCCCTAACTGCTGAACGAGTTTCTGAGAGAAGTTGTGAGCGGTTGGAAGTATAGAGTCATTGAGCTAGCTCTGCATATTACTTTGAAGATCAGTTTGAAAGACCATAATGGGCATGATGTTGTGCGTACTTACTACAAAGAGCAAAAATTCTATTAGAATAACGAAAGGTCCTTGTGCCGCTAATTGATGTGACTGATTGATTGCGAAGTTTGGAGACGCTTAAGACCTCTACTAGAGGGCCGTTCAGCAGATAAGGAAAGTATTAAGAATTCACCAAGGCTTTGATGACACCATTTCGTTTGTTCGGATGGCCAGTGCGGCATGCGATCTTTTTGTTTAGAACGAGCAACACGTAAAAGCAACAACAAGCAATGTTTCGAAAGCAATTAAAATGACCTTACATCGCAGATCCCTGCGCACTGTGCCTTGAGCATCAAAGAATTCAACTACCGCAGTCAACGCATAAAATACCCTGTGCTTGACTAGAACAAATCGATCAAAGTTCAAAGTAACTCTTTACCATACCCCAACACTATCCGTGTGATGTGACATCAGCAGCAACTAATCTAACCAAACAAAAATGTGCAAAACTGAGCGAAAAGTTACTGCCTACCATATGCCTACAGTAAATCGACAGATTGTGGCACTTCTACACACGGTATGTTGCGTCTCGCCGAGCTAAATCGAACGGTGTCCTCGGATTCAAAATTCATCCATTCTGAAACGAGATAGGGCGATGCTACGCGGATTTCGACGGACTCTAGTGATGTGCGGCGCACTCCGCCGCACTCTAGTGGACTGCGCCGCACTCCGGCGACTTTTTTGACGAATTATGAGCTTTATTGTATACATGCATACGTGCCTAAAAGCATATCACCACAAAATTTTTCAAATCAATATCCAAGTTAACTCTGTGGTAAAGGCTTTCCCGAAACCGTGCGCAGCAGCGCCTCCAATCTCCAAAATTTAGAATTATAGGCCGGCAAAAATTTTGAGAAGCATTCCAAAAGAAATTTTCGAGGTGAGCGGCTATCGTCGCGCATATTCACTTGAAGAATTCTCGTCCCCCTCTCCCCGAAAATTTCTCGGACTGCCACTGATAATGAAGAATGATGCTTTCTTTTGTACTGCAAATCTAAGGGCCGCATGCACTAACATGGCCGCTGGGAGGGGATCGCAGCTCAAAAGAAAGCTTCATATTTCGAAACTCCAGATACCTGGATTTCACGTTGTGTACCTTCGTAAGTATTCCTACTATTCTTCACTATGAACATGTTGGACAGGAGCGAGAAGCTGTACAAATTGCATCCAGCTTTTGTATGATCCCTGATGATCCCCGGCGCTTTTCTTTGAAGTCATTTTTCTTTCTCCGAAGTTAACGAAAAACGTTCAAAGTTGTGCAGATTATCTAACCCAACAGTGCTAAGCATGTTGCTGATAAGAACAAATGATGTTTTGAAGTCATGAAATCTTCGATGATCCACAGGTCGAAATTTGGGGTTTACCAAAAAAATCGATTTTTCAGAAATTCATGTGTTCTCATCAGCAACATGCTTAGCATTGTTGTGTTAGATGTTCAGTACAACTTTGGAAGGTTTTCGTTAACTTCGGAGAAAGAAAAATGACTTTGAAGAATAGATGTTCGTCCCCCAGGGGATCATCAGGGGATCCTACAAAAAGCTGGGAAATGCGGCTTGTACAGCTTCTCGCTCCTGCTCAATATGTTCATAGTAAAGGATGGTGAGAGTACTTACGAATAGGTAGACAGCGTGAAATCCAGATATCCGAAGCTTCAGGATATGAAGCTTTCTTCTGAAGCTGCGATCCCCTCCCCAGCGGACATGTTAGTGCATGCGGCCCTAAGTCGAAGTCTTACCATTTGCTGGGTAAAGGTCCGCAGAAGTGATCTAGACAAGAAGGTAATTAGCGTTAAATTTTTTCTGTGCCACATATGGACAAAAATGTCAGCAAAGATCATTTCGCCTTGTTTGGCATGGAATTTCACAGTGCGCTTGTTTTCAATCTCGATGACCCTTGTGAAAAATTCTCGGAGACATGTTTTGAATTTTTCCCAAAAAGGCTATCATTTCGGACAATACGACCCACGGGTCGTCGTAAGTTCGACAAAGCGGAAAAGGCTCTGATCCGAGGCAGTAATCGAAAAATCGGACTTGTCGTGATTGTGTTGATCTTATATACAAAGCTGAATGTCTGTTTGTCTGTCTGTCTGTCTCTCTGTCTGTATGTATGTGTGTATGTATGTACCGAATAGAAAATTCCATTTCTGAATCGATTCTGACCAAACTTGGCACACATAGACTTCGGGCCCGGCGGGTGTCATAGGCTACTTTTCGTCATCGATCGATATCGATTTTATCGATTTTTTGTAAAGTTTGGCCTGCGGGGCTGGGAGTTTGCACAGGGGGGTAATCGAGCATGCTGATTACGAGCACAATCTTAGTTTGGCGCTATTCGGCTATCGGGCCCCAAAATTTTTTTGTCGTAGAGCTTGCTCAAACTTCGTGTATAAGGGTCATCTTACATGCTGATTACAGATATCACACTTTCTCCGCAAAATGTCTCCCCGTGTGGTTACGGTAAGTGTACGGTAGGAAGTCAAAATCTTGAATTCGGCTGGAGTTCGGTCCAGAGAACTTACTCGACATGCTGATTACGAATTTTATACTCTCTCTGCATATTGGGACCTCTTCATAGATTTGCTTTAAGCTTCGTCTAAGGTGGTCATTTAGCGCGCTGAACATGAAATCATGCTGATTTCGTAGAATAGTGCATTTTCTTGGGTTACGGTGGGTGTAGATGGGTCGAAGTTCCAGATTTGCTTAAAACCTTACCTGTAACGGTTCACAAGTATAATGCTTATGAATAAGATGCTTGCTCGCTGTCATAACGCATTAGTGAAGTTATGGTGAGTTGCGGGGTTTGAATGGACTTTTTGCCTTCGTCAAGTTAGTCAGATATTCGCGAAATGGGGAAACGGTTGTTTTGCAAGGCGGTCTCCAGCGCCATCCTGATAGCCTGCCTCAACGTGTAACGCACGCGGCAAATCTCCCTCCCCCTGTTTTTGCTTAGGCAAAAGCCGCTGAAGGGTGTATCGTGCGCGGCTTTGGTCCTATAAGAAAAGCATTAGGTCGTGGGAAAGTTTTAAACCACACGAATTGCCATTATCGGGGAATTAAGCACGATATTCTTGAAACAGCACTTTAGGTAATTCCCTGCCAAGGTTTCAGGCTGGTTCATGATTTTTACCCGCTGCCACGCGAAATGACTACGATTCGTCATCAGTGGCTTGCATAACCCTCATATACCGAGGTTGAGCAAGACCCACCACAAAAAGGTTCAGAGCCCGGATAGCCGAATAACGCCATCAGTCTTTAGAATTACCCTTACTTTTATCGATTTCATTGTTTTTTTTTTGCAAAGTGTGAGCTACGGGCTGGGGAGTTGATGAGGAAAATAGGTGAGCATACTGATTACTAAGACAGTGGGAATAGGGAATTGCATGTAGAAGTGGGCACAAGTAAAGGTGTACAGGGATAGAAATGGAACCTTTATCGTTTTTGAAACTGCCGGGCGGAGCCCGTATGCCAGCTAGTACAATGTAAAAGAGAAAGAGCTTTGAAAATCTGCAGTACCAATCAGTAGCATCAAATTGATGTAAACAATATGTCTATGTATTCAATCAAAATGAAGATTTCACCTAGAACTTCATCAGAAGGCGGTTTGTCACCGTCTTCGATTGTGCCTTGCATCTCTATCATCATCCATTCGTCGACATTATCTCTGGAAAATCAATTCAAAATGAAGATGCCAATGTCGTGAAATCAACTTTGCGTTTCTGCACAGTAAATTGCGGAACACGGCGTGCGCGGCGAATGCCTTTGGGTCGCCATTGTGAGCATGATGGGTATCAAAACGTTTTGGCGCTATTCCAGCATCCGGGCCCCAGAATTTTTTTGTCGTGGATTTGCCTGAAACTTGGCCTAGGGGATTATTCGCCCCGCTAATGCCGAATATCACATTGCTTTTGTACGGTAGCGTCATTTTCTGAGGTTACGGTGGGTGTAGGTGTACGGTAGGGGGTGAAAGTCACGGATTTGGCTGAAACTTACTCTAGGGGGATTATTTGACATGCTGATCACGAACATCTCACTCTTTCTGCCTTCTGTGGATTTTTCATGGAGTTACGGTAGGTGTACGGTATGAAAGCAAAATTATGAATTTGCTCTAAACTTCGCCTACGGAGGTTATTGAGCCCTCTGAACATTAATATAATATCATGCTGATTTTAAAAGCGTCATTTACTTGAGTTACTGTATGTATACCGTAGATAAGTCGAAGTTCCGAATTTGCTTGAATCTTTACCTAGAAGGGTTTTTGAGCATGCTGTTTACGAATATCATGCTTTCTCGCTGCAATAACGCCTTATTGTGGACTTACGGTAATTTACACCCTATGAATTAGACATTTTTCTACCTTTCGGGTGAATCTAAATCACGGAATACCACAAGGCTTTACCATGCGAAATGAGCACGAACTCGTAATCAGCAAGTCAGATAGCTGCCCTGCACACATTCAAGCAGGTCTATAGTCTTGACTTCCTACCATATACCTAGCGTAACTCCCCAGAAACGCCCCAAAACGCAAAGCGAGCATGATAATAGTGATCAGCATGTCAAGTAACCCCCCTCTCCCTAGGCCAAGTTTTAGCGAATTCCGTGATTTTGACCTCCTACCGTGCACCCACCGTAACCACAGAAAATTTCGCTATCATACAAAAGCAATGTGATATTTGGCTTCAGGGGGCCGAATAACCCCCTTAAGCCAAGTTTCAAGCAAATCCACGGCGGAAAAAATTGTGCCCGGATACTGGGATAGCGTCCAGCTTCTCAGCATTCTAAACCATAAACTTTCACCGATTTACTCCTTTCAAATGCATGTGCTGATGACTCGGAGTACTAAACTTCTAACCGAAGAAACAGTCAAACTGCAAAACGATAATTTAGAGAAAAAGCAAGAATAAAAAAATGTAAAATATGTCAGCTTACCTTGCGCTACCTTCGTCATATCTTCGTGTATGACATTCCGTATTTTGCGGAATGCGGAAATACGCTTGTTTAGTCACAGCAGTTGAGAAACTGAAGAAAAAATATCGAACGTTTTGAGAATATGTTGAACAAAAGCTGCCGATGGAGCAAGATTGCAGATGAAACGTTCGATAATGTAAGCGTTTTCTCTAACAAAGAAGACGATGACTGCCAGACTTGTATCGAATCCCGAATCAATATTACAATAGGATGTAATTAGCGAAAACATTAGTAGCATCAGTACTAAAATGCAATCGTTTCTTATATGCAAAGCTCATAAGAGCTGAATAGTGAAAAAAGTAAAAATTCTGCTTTGGTACTCCCCTAACAATGATAACATAATATCCTCCAATTTCAAATACGTAACGATTACATATAATCTCTGAACTGAGAAATTAGTAAGATTTAGCGTTCCGTCGTTCCTTTTTCACGGAATAGCGTCATTTGCGTGCAATGAGTTGTTAGATGTGCAAATGCATGCGATCGCCTAAACTATGGCCATGCATTTTCAATCGGCGATTTGATCGTCGCGACTTGATCGCCCAATCCATCGAAATCGTCGCGATCAAATCGCGACGATCAAATCACGTGAAGTCTGCCCGGGGTCTAAGGAAAATCTATTCCCGTTAATGTATACATTTTAAACTATCACTTTATGTCACTCTCAAATCAAGCATTGTCCAAGGAATATATTCTTCATAATGTGCAGACGTTACTTGCAAGACTTTGCAAGAAGCAAATTGTTTATCTTCGCAATAAAAAATTCTTTTTCCCTCTCGTTTTCCTCCTACTTCGCCCCACTTTTGTGCAGATGTGGGATAGCACATAGTGTCTCAGGCGAATCTTTCTTCACACAGATTGTCGACTCTTTTGAGTCTTTGCAAAAATAGGCAGGGAGGTTGACGGTTCTTGCCGATTCTTCCATCGCGAGCCAGGCTCGGCAACTTGGGCTCGGACTACCCCACCTGGGTGGGGTACTTGCGATGGCTGGAGGGCCATAGGGCTCACCAGGTTCTCAACCTTTCCCTGAAAATGAAACGAACGCCGCTTACTGTTTTGCACTGGGTGCAGCCCTATCATGAGCCGTATACTAGTTTGTTAAACCGCAAACGTCTCTCTCGCAGAGAGAGCGCCAGATAAACACAGGGGGCACAGCACACTTGTACGAAGCTGTATCGATTAGGAGAGACGGCATTGCTGCCAAATTGCTAAAAAATTTCATGCAGAGCAGTCAAATTGCGCAGTTGCTGTCTGCCCGCAGCCTTGTAGAGCTGGCAGGACCATGCAGTAATTTCTAAAGCCCATAATTCGTTCGAGGAGTAAGTAATTTATTGAATGTTTTGAAGTCTACTAAAAGTATTTGTAATGCATGTTGTCTAACTTAAATTATATGCATTCTTCTTTCCTTCTCTTCTTTCATTCTGGCGTCATTTCATCTTTGTTCATCACCAAAGCAGACATGAAACAAATGTCAAACTGTTTGCTCTTTCGAATCTTCACAAAATTTGGCAGGGAGATCAGGTTTGGGCCATACCGTTTGGTTTTGGAAGCCAACACGACTACGCGATACTCATCTCTATGGTGGGCATCCTGCAGTGCTTCCAGCCGCTAGCTCAATTCGACCATTGCCTGTAACGAATCCAATGTTGTGCACCGGTGCCAACCTTGTCACACGAGCTCCCTATACCAGTTTATCACGCAGTCAACATCTCTCTCGCATGAGATAAGCCAAACTGCAGGCTGATAGCCGTTTGTACACAGCTGTCGTTGATAAGTGAATTTGGAATGCTGTGCGCTTTTTTCTCTGAGAATTTCCCGTTATATGATATGGGAGAGCGATTCGTTTGCAACGTACATGTAAGGGCAAGGTGAGTAAGCGGACTTGGTGAGTAAGCGGACTCAGTAGGAATATGTACGAAAAATTGTGGAAAACTCATGTGAATGAACAATGATTTCTGAGGAATTTTTACTAGTGACTGGTGAAGAAATGACTTGTTTGCGAAGCACAGATAACGACTAGGTAAATTCAGGGTGAGAATTAGTTAGAAAAGGAAGAAGGATTTTGTGAACGTAGTGTCGACTGCAGTAGTCTAAAAGATTGAGCGTAAGCGCCAGTGTTGCGCAGGACTTAGGTGTAAATTTTTTGCAAGCTTTTGAACTACTAGCAAGAACTTCTCATAATGAATGACCAGGCCCTAAAATCGGCAAATATGCTCGTTAGTTCCCTCAAAAATCATTTAAAATAGGACTTGGACATATGCACACGACATATTCTCACAGCCTCAAAAGCAGTCTAGAACCTTTTCATATTTTTGAAGCATCATTGACCAATTCTCAGCTACGACATAGAGCTGAAAAGATGCAGCACACAATTACCTCCTAAAAAGTGTGACCTCTCAAGAAATGTTACACATAAGTAACATCAACAAACAGTGTTGTTGTTGAATGCCAACGCCCAATCAAATAAACTATTCGCTTCAGTAGTGGTAGACGCCCCGGGAATAAAACCATGCTTCTTATATGATGGATGAATATGCTGTTTGGGTCACAAATGTTTCCTCAAAATCAAAGCGTTATTTTCCTCAATGCGCTTTAGTCGGATGTTATAATAAATTGGTAATAACTGGTCGTTTGGTCGTCTTTGACAATTAGTACGATACTGACAAAATTCTGTATGATATGAGCATAGTAGAAAAGAGTAAATTAGATAGAATCAGACGATGAAAACTTATTTGAGCAGAACTTTTTTCAAATAAATACTGCGGGAATATTTGTCAGAGTCAGGGCTCGGCACGAGCTGGCACCAGGGAAATTTCAAAACGAAGTCCCGTTGATCTTAAAAATTTCGTACAAAGTCTCCTTTGACCTGTTTTGAAGACCCGTCATTATTCTCAGGTTATGCAAGTATGTTAGTAGGGTTTTGGGCATGGTAGTTAAATTACATCTTGAAAAGCAGGAAAAGCCGATTTTTCGACTGCGGAGCAGACCGAGTAATTTTCAGATGGCTATAAAACGCTGAAAAGAAAACGTTATGAAATTGTTTCTTCTATGTATGTAAACTTTTACTTTGTAGATACATTTTATGTAAAAAAGTATGAAAATTTAGGTGAGGAAAGTGTCGGTGCCAGCTCAGCTGGCACCAAGCTGGCACGGTGCCAGCTAATTCAGAAAAAAGTTTAGCACATCATTCACGTAAATTTTTCATAAATTTTTGGGCTATCGGCTCCCCAACGCGCATGCGCACACCAAATTTGTTGTCATACTATCGCTTTTTATTTGAAAACAACGTCTTTGTTCATTTGATGGACAGCGGTGGCATGCCGGCGGCATTCTTGCGGCTCTTCTCCGCCCCCAGATCCCGGAAAAACGATATCTTCTTTGCTTTCGCCCTAAAAACGATATCCGGCTTGACTGGTGCCAGCTGTGCCGAGAACTGGTCAGAGTTAATAATTTGAAATTAGAAAATGAATGAACATTCGAAATATCACAGCTTTACATGTTTCACTCAAAATGAAGAACTTACGGTAAATTTGCAATTTTATCTTTACTTAATAATCTTAATACTCTTTATAATCATGGGCTAAGGGTCTTTACGTGGCTGTGTGTATGGTGAGGAGGATAGGCGAGCATACTGATTACTAACACAGCGGGGATAGGGAATCGCATGTAGAAGTGGGCACAGCTAAAGGTGTACAGAGATGGAAATGGAGCCTATATCGTTTCTGACAGGGCCGGGCGGAGCCGGGTAAGCCAGCTAGTCAATTATATTCGAAGATACTCTGTGTCTGCAGCACTAAACTTTAATTGTTTTTGGTCTCAAAGGTGGAATCAAGTTTGACATATGATGCTTTTACCCTGCGATGGCGTTTACCACTCACGATGGCTGAGCTAAGTCCTGATGAGGTTTCCCGCTGTTAAGAGTATGCTTGATAAGCACTTTTCTCTGACTGAAGAGAGGGCTTTCCAAGTGCTTAGACATTTTTCAAATAGAGCTATAATGCTATATGTATTTCAGTAGGATGTTAACTCAGGTGTTCGAAATTTGCAGAAGAAAAGAAATTATTATTATAATCATCATTAACTCAAGAAATCTGCTCGTACCATCACTGTACTCATTACCTTTTTCCAAGTTTCCCTTCGGCTTACGGTTCTTTTCCAAACCCCTCTCTCTTCTTCATGTTCGGCTTTTTTCTCACATAGTGTGCTACTTCTTATCCAACGAAGTACTCATGATTTTGGTTTGTTTGAAAAAACTGCTATTTTTATTATGCTCTGCCCTTTCTCTTCTCGCACCTATTTAACGCAAGTTTGATAGTAGTTTTAGGATCGCGTTTTTGCTATTTTGCATGGAAAAGTAAGTACTTTGATGTCATCTTTGCTATAGACTCCGCCAGTACTTGCAAGGACGAAACAAATGGCTGGCGAATGTAGTTTTTACATGACAGAGCAATTACATGATATCCCCTCAACGCTTGTTTACAGAAGTTATATGTGCCCTGAAACGGTATATACCTTGCATATTGGGTGCAGGCTTGGTCCCAAGCAGGGTCAAGCGTGTTGAAGCGATCCTGGACCCTCATTTACGACCCCCCCCCCCCTTGAAGGTACCCATCCGTACAACCCCCCCCCCCCCTCCCCTCTCCCTCCCTCTCCCCCATCTATCCCCTTACCTCCCTTGCCCACATATCTCGCGGTAACCTGCATAAACGAATGTCAATCTCAAAAAGCACCTGCGTGAGCTTCAGTGAGGTTTCGGAAGCAGAATTTCTAGGCCAATGGGTGCGCCCAGCATCTCTAGCACATATACAGATCTTCAATAATGTTTGAGATTCTGCAAGTTTACTTTTGAATTTTCAGGCATACTTCAGGCCAGCAAATTCGATTCCCGTATGCGACACAAATTTTTACACGAAGAACAAAATGGCAGTCTTGAACTACAAAAGATGTTTTCGACTAAGAAGCTCAGTTCTTACCTCTTCCACAGTTTTTCCTGCGAAAAAACCGCTTTAGTGCCGTCCAGAACGACGTCAAAAACATGCATGAACACGGTATTTTGAAAATTCGTAACTAAGGCCAGGAAAAGACTGAGAGGCTGCAAAGAACAGGGTCTGTAGCACAGTGCCTAGACTATTCATAAAAAAAGTTTCAGCCCTTGAGGAGCAATGAGCTCGAAAAAATTTAGATCAGGCTCTCGCAAATTTAGATGCGATCCTAAAAAACAAAAACTGGGATTTTTGAGCTCAAAATTTTGTAACTTACCAGAGAAGTTATAAAACAGCCCGAAATTCTTATGATAAAAACTAGAGGGATGGTCTCGTATTACAGCAAGTTTGCAGCTAACAAGCTTCAATAGCTCCGGAGAAATTTAGATCAGGCGCAAATACGACCCCCCGTTTCTCATTGTTTGCTACCATACATAAAATCATAAGAAAATCCGCAGTTTATAAAATAAACCAGATTTCGCACAGCAGTAGCAGGGCTTATCTAAAATATATATAAATTGTAAGGGCCGCATAAATGGCATTACAAAAAGATTTACGAATTATTGAATGTCATCGTTGATCTAGATGTGCGTTTTGTCGAGTGTGCGAGTCTTCAGTGAGCCTTCGGAAGCAGGATGCCTACACCAATCGGTACATCCAACATCTTTATCACACATACATCCCTTTAGTAGCATTTGAGCTTCTGAAAGTGTTTATTTTTTGGACTTTAGTTATGCCAGCAGGGTTCGATCCCCGTTTGAGACAATATTTTACGGGAGAAATAGCGATTCCCAAAAAAAAGAACTTAGTCATAATCTTTCAAAAGTGCAGCAAATGAAGCGAATTTCTACGCTTGCAAACGTTTTCAAATTATTGTTCACTCGTTTTTATTTGATACATTGGTACACGGCATTCCATGAATTTATTATTAAAAACATGTAGTAATTACTTGCTATTTGATTTGCTTTCAATCGTACGGTTTTTTATTTAGACTACCCCCTCTTACGACCCCCCCCTCACCGTAGGCCCCCTTTACGATGCCCCGTTGCGACAGTCGCATCACACGCTTGACCCTGGTCCCAAGTGAGCTTTTCCAACGCCTTGAATGCGTCATTACAGGGTACGAAGAAAAGAACAAAAACAACTGCTGCTTACCTTTATTATATCTTCCTTAATGTCCTTCCTCAGTTCCTTAAACACTACACAAGTTTTTTCATCTCTTGGATACCCTTTTTGCAGTCTTGCTCTGCTTCCTTTGAAAGAAGAATACTCCCAACAAGACAAAAAGTCAGACCTCGCACAGTAGACATACCTCAAGTCAAACTTTTTATCGCAGTGCAGTTTCTTGAAGTGCGGACATTTCGTCGCAGAAAAGCTTATCCACATACTCGTCGTCGTCGCATGTTGTGATTGCAAATACGCTGAGAAGCAGAAGGAAAATAAGCAGCTCTGTAATTCATAGCTATTAATCCGATAGATCTTTGTAACAATGCATAGTCATCGTCTTAAAAGCATTGCCAAGTTCCTGCTAATATTTTTTGGTGTAATACAAGTGACCAAAAAGGCGCCAGAGTTGATAGCAGAATTACTTATAGCTATCATCGGAACTCGAATTGAAACCGTTGGCGCTGATTTGAATAGCATTGGCCGTTAAGCGCGCATTATTAATTGTTGTTTTATGCGTATTTTATTTGCTGTGATCAACATGCAAGTGTTTGCTGTTAGAAGGAAAACAAGCAACCTTTGAGATGCGGCTTTTTTATATTTACAATCTTCTTTGACGGCATTAGTCGAGTAGAAAAGCCTGAGCTATCGCAACAACGCATCTCGACAATGGTTTTTATTGTTAGATAAGAACGAGTAGGAAGAGGTAGTAATGCTGCAATATTTTTCGAAAAAAAATTTTTGCAGCTATAAAAATGAAATTATGATAAAGGGCTCTCTTATCCAAACGTATGATAGCTTGGACAATTTATAAGCAGCCATCTCTTGCTTTTCTTACAAATGGAAAATGTTTGGTGAGTGTGGGCATTTTGAAGTTTTTGAAGTATGTTGTACATCAAAGTTCGTCTTGGAAGCTGACCTCAAAACTATTAGGTTGTCTTTTAAGTTTTTCATATGGTCGAGAATCAGCTAAGCTTAATTTTTTGAAATCAGAGCTTGAGCTATTTGATAGACCAACGCATGCTCTACAAGATAACTCCAAAAAAACGCAAAAGGTTGATACACGTGAACCTTGACCGAAATTCAAAAATTCTCGACTGCCCGAAAAATCCTATCTCAGCTCAGACTCATTTATGTAACACCACATCTCACATTTATGTTCACGTCTGTTAGCGCCATAAATTTCTTTCGTGTTAAGGTGCGTGACGTGAGCCATGCACTCCAAAAAATTTCTTGGAATGCTTTTTTGGGGGCCCACGACTTATGAAAATTATATGCTAGAACGAATTGGGAGTTTACTGGACTCTTTTAAACGAAAATTCGATTTATTAGTTTTTTTGGGCATTTGAATATTCTCAGATTTTCTTAAACTCTATGTGGATCATACGTGATGTGAGTTTCTGAAAGTCATTTGGTAGAGACTGCTCTGCTCCATCGAAAAGTACCCCGAGAGAAATTAACGAAAAAATCGTTTATGGCAGTAAAGAATCAAATATGAAAACACTCTCAACCTAACAAGTTTGCTATCTGCGGACCTTCTCTGAGAAGAAATACCGCTTGTGAAAGCGAAAGCAAAAAACATTCGCACAATATGAGAATTGTTTTGCAAATTAGGAGCAAAATTTTGATATCAGCTCTTAAGGGCAGATAGCATGACATATGTCACATATCCAAGGGCGCCCAGTTACCAAAATGAAAATCGCACTATTGTCATTTTGCCATCACAGGAAAATGACAATAGTGCGATTTTTTGTCTTTCAGAGTACTAGATTTGCTGACTGCAATGCTTTATGATTTGAAAGGTAGTACTTTGGAAAACGTCAAGAAGTTTGCGGACGCTATTCGCTAAACATTGGTGCCAAGGTGACGATTGTGGTATACCACCGTATCGTTCAAGCTTATACAAGAACAGTTTGACTGGAACATAGTGGATTGCCCCATAACCGCAGCAAACGGATGAGCTATTTCTGCCGGATTTTTGCAGTAGACTTGGTGGTGTATCTGATTTATCTGCGGTGAAGTTCTGCTCGTGCAAAGATCGCTTTAGGACTTGAGAATGAAAAAGCAAACCTTAATGATAGTCATCTGGGGAACTCTTGTAAACATTACAGAAGCTTTATTGCAAGGAGGCTCTATAGGCTTGATTTTGTTCAATTGCAAGACTACAATCGTATACAACGGTAGCATCTCGCCTTTGTTGAGCAATAACTTACTATTCAATGTTAAATGAATGCTTTAAAAACGCCCATCAGCACGCCTATTACATTGTGCATCGTCATGTGATGACGGATTAACTATTTCAGTGACGTCTATTGAAGATTCCTTCATCATTTATCGAGGGATTTTTGTCATAAATTACAGCAAGTAAGAAATTCACATTGCTTCAGCAAAGCTTTCATGACAGTGGCGAAGCAGTGCTATAAGACCTGCTAAAACTAGAATCTTTCGAATTATGAAACTGCTTCCCATTCTACTGCTTCTCAGCATCTCCGCAATCACATCAAGTGACATATTTGCCCTTATTCATGCTTACTGCGCCGAAGTGTGCCCGTGCTTTGAGAAATTGCATCCTGATAAGAAGATTGCTTACAAGGTGTGTTTTTTTTGTACAACATTTGCTTTGTACATTAGTGATGTCTCCATTTTCAAGGAGATAGAGGAAAATTGCAAGAAAGACATCAAGGAAGTACAAAATTACTGTGCAGAGTTTATGAAACTTGATGAGATAAAAAGAAAATCTTTTCAAAAGGTAAGCCTTCGTTCTTGCTGACGATTCGCTTCTTCGTCTCAAATGAGGAGTTTAAGTACTTGGAGACACTCACATGGAACGAAGCCTGCAACGAGTACTGCAAAATCGAAGAACTTTTTTAGATTAGTCTAAGTAAAATTCTAGCTGTATGCTTAAGCTTAAAGGCAGTGGCTCGGGAAATTGCAATCACGAGACTTCCTTCTCTCTTGTGCTGCGCTGAGTCCAGTGCTGTTCTTGAGTAGTCAACGAAGTGCTTTCCATGGTGTTTTGCGGTCTTGGAGATTGCTAGAGGGATGGGCGAGCGATCGCCAACTGAGTCGCGATTGGCTGCCTAAGACGATCAGCCAAATGCGCTAGAATGGATGTTGTTACAGTATCTTGCAGCCAGTCGCTGTTTTTGGAGGGAATCCCTCGCGCAGCCCCCTCAGCAATCTCCAAAGCCGGAAATTCCGAAAAAGCAGTTGACTTTTCAAGCACAACCTCGGACTCAGCGCATCCAGAAACTCATGTAGGTGCGAAAAGCTCGCGCTCGCAATTTTTTCGAGTCACTGACTTCAGTCACAGTTAGAATGTATGAGCAGTGCACTTTACGTCGAAGTGTAAATTTCAACATTCAAGAGTTCTAAAAGGGAAGAAGGGATGGAGCTTATCAAAACTGCACCTTTAAATTATTGCAAGAGCTTTGTTGTGCTAGGAACAATAGGATGTTACAACATATGAGAGACACAAGAAGAAGGGGGAGGGAATAAGTGAGTAAAACGAAGCGGGTAGTGCTGGTGGATATAATATCGCGCAAGCAAGTTTCTTGTTTGTTGATGTTCAGAAGAGTTTGCTTTTTCTTCATAGGATCAGAGTTCTGTAAACAAAATTTTTAGGGTCTAATTCAACATTTTGTGAGAGTACATTGAGGATTAACACCCGAATTCTAAGATTTTATTGAAGCTTTTTAGCCGCCTTTCGAAAGTCTTTTTCTATCCAGATTATAGCTGTCCGCCCCTCCCCCCTCTCCTCCACAATAAAAAAAGTCTTGTGTTGTTGTTACTTAACATTATGGAACCTTCCAATAACCTTATAAGCCAGCAATGCAATATTAGATTATGTTCTCCCGAACGGCAAATCATCATATAGTGCCTGCGGAAATGAAACTATTTCTGGAAGGCAGTGGTGCTATCTGAAAAGTACGTTAGCATCAACATATCACTTGGGACAAAATCAAGAAAACACTGGATTCGACTTGCTTATGCGTCGCTATTCAAAAAAAAGTTTACAAAATTTCTTCAGTTTTCAACAATGGAAAGAGCTGCCTTCATAGCATAAACGCCGACGTCATAGATCGACTTCAAAGTACTATATACGAATGATGCAAACTGATTTTGCGTAATATTTCAAGTAGGTGAGGATCAACCGTTTTTGGGGGGGGGGGCGTCTGTAATATCAGCTTATCGAAGTAGAAAAACAAATCGTTTAACGCACAAACAGTTGTTATATGCAGGCGAGGTTCCCACTCTCCCTCTGTTACCAGAATCTCACTTTTTGAGGGTTTTTGCCTTTTATAAGCTCGAGAAATGGAAGAGAGATGCAAGCAGAACAACGTGTGCTTCATTCACACTTGAGACAAGATTTATTTTTTGCCAAGGTCATACTAGGCGTCTTCATAGATTTACGGACCAGAAGAGCTAGTACAGCTTGTACATGTACACGGAAACACATGAGATCATAACGCCTAAAAAATCACTGAGTCTTGAGATTGCCAGTATGGAGGAACAAATAAAATAGAAAGTGATTATGATAACAGACAAAAAGGAATAATTTGCAAGAACATTTGAATGTTTATGTAGCAACGACGATTAACACTGTTTGAAACCGCAAACGCACGCTAGAGACATAAATCTTATTCTGCGGACTTCCCTGTGCACTATTCGTTTGACACATAAGAAAAAATGAAAGAAATTGTAAACAAAACTCAAGAATATTCAATTCTGTTTCATTCCTGCACTAGACGGAAAAGGATGTGAATACGATCTTCCCCGGACATCAGAGGCCGTATTCATCATTGCTACTTTGAGCTAAATTGAACCTTGAAGTAGGATTATCACTCAAAACCCGCATTCATCAATGTACCTTGAAGTAAATGCTTAAGGTTAAATCAACCTTGAAAATGATTTCATATGGAATGAATGATACCTTGACGTGAATTATACCTCAAGGTAGCCTTATCAGCGATAAATCCGTATTCACAAAACTTGATGCCTTTACCTCAAGGTACATTCACAATAGAAACTTTTACCCTAGCAAAAGGCAAGGTTAGGAGTGATACCTTCAGAAATTACAAGGTTTCAGAGGCTGATTTTTCACATGAACACTGCAGCGACAAAACTGAATCCATTGCAGCAATTTGTTCAATTTCGTTGGGATAAGCTAGAGTTATAGACATGTAAAGAAATTAGTACCACATTTCTTTTTAATCTAATGGGTATGTTGTGAGTGTTGAATGTCCTGTGAAATTGATGTATCGACAAAGAAAGTCAAACATATCCTTCATTTGCCTTAACAGCATTTTGAGCAGAATCCATGTTCGACTATCCATAAATCTTGGCAAAGTTTGAATCTTCTGACTGATTTGTTTAGCAGCGTCCAAGATTGGTACAGATACTTATTCCACAATAAACAGACTGACGTTTCGGCAAACTCGCCTTCTTCAGAGTCTGAAAAGTCGAAAACACATAAGTGAAATATCCGATCAATTATCAACTACAGAAAAGAGCCCAACCCTCTAGACAAGCAACAGTATCAACCAAAACGCAAGATTAAGCTAGTGCTCACCTTAACAGATAATAGATCTGGTGGGTGCAGGCCACTTATGTCAAAAACTGTACTGCATTACTTTTATATTCATCTAGTGACCCGGTCCTGACCTGACCTCATTATTCAAAAGCCACAAAGGCTCTGATAAGGTGGCAGCTCGTTAGTAATGGCTAGGCACTCATCCTTCCGGTTGATTTTTGGATTTTGGGAGGCCATCCAAAACGCTTCGAGTGTCTTGCGCGCTAGGATTTCGGGTTCACGCGCCAGGATTCGAACCTGCACTCCCACCTCCGCGACGTCATGGCTGAGCCTGCGATGCATGCCTAACGGAGTAAATACATTGCCCTTGCTGAGACCATCTAAGTGTTCTTTTATGCGCGTGCATAGGGGGCGGCCCGTCTTGCCAATATACGTGTCTCCACATGTTGTACACGTGATAAGGTAGACAACACCTGATACCATACGGTCTCCTTCCTTGCCAAACGGACAAACTACACAATGAGGAGTTGTACAGAGACGATCATACTCGCGGTTTCGTACCAGTTGCTGCTTAAGGTTTGCAGGAGGAATGTCGACGATCCTTACCATATCGTTGAGGTCTGCTTGATGGAGCACTTTGCGAACAGCCCCGCTAAACTCTTCTGAGATGTATGATAGACAGAATGAGATCTGATGTCCAGCTTCTGATCTAAGCGGACAATAAACTCGGTATCTGTGAGGACGGTGAGTCTCCGTGCAGTAACCATTGGATCTTGCTACGGATCTTGCGAGATCCAGCGAGTGCATCTTTTCCTCTCTATCAGAAGAGACCCCCCGCAGCCGTTCTAAACATGTTTCTTATGATGGATGCTTTTATTCGTGCCGGATGTGCTGAAGTATGGTGTACTAAGATATTCCTGCTGCTCGGCTTTCGGTACCATCTGGTCTTAAGACGCCTGTCTGACAAACATAACTGCACGTTGAGGAACGGCAGCCATCCATCTTTGGGTTTTTCCCTCGTCATCTTGATGTTCCTGTCCTGGGCATTCATGATATTGATGCAAGCATCAAGTTCGGCCTGAGTGGGACACACGATACAGTAGTCGTCCACGTACCGACACTAGAAGAGAGGCTTACTTGTCAGTACCGGAGCTTCCACCTTGGACATGAAAACAATCGCTAAAGTCGGCTCTAGCCTTTGTCCCATAGCCAGTCCTCTTATTTGCCTGTAATAGTTGCCACACCAGCGAAAGATGGAGCAGTTGAGGCATTCTTTAACCAACGACAAAATGCCTCTGATGCTAAGACCGTAAAGATTAAGTGACGACTGGTGTTCTAGAAGAAGTTAGAATGTCGCTTGCATTGCTGCGTCGTTGGAAACGTTGGTATAGAGCGATTCCACATCGAAAGATTCCAAAACGCACCCTTGCCTTACACTTGTGCTGCGCAGGCGATCAAGAAACATTTTTGTGTTGGAGAGATGTGCGGGAACAAATCTGAGCAGTTGAGAAAGGATGGTGTTGAGAAACCACGAAATCCTATCCGTAGGACCTCCAACGCTGCTGATGGTGGGCCTAACCTTAAAATCCTGCGGGTTATTGGACGCTAAACTATCTACGGACACCTTATGTGTTTCGATGAGAATGTAGAGAACAGGACACATAGGCAGATCGGTCTTCAGACGTGTAGCCATAGCCCTAGAAATGCCTTCAGCTTTAACAACCCCTAACCATACTCTGTTCAAGCGGCAGTACTGCTTTCTGAAATCGTTTGGTGCTACAGGCTCGTATACGGTAGTATCCTGTAGTGTTTCGTGACAGCCATGTCCAGATCACGAGAGAGAACTACAAATTCTCCTCCTTTGTCGCTGACCTACACCTTGATCTCCCCGGCAGCACAAAGGTCGCGAATTTCGCGCAGGCCGCGGCCTTGCAAAAGTGTTAAATTGCTATTCTGCCGTTTTTGGCGGAATTGGTGGAGAACTGAGAAGAGTCCGGTAGCAAATACTCGGATCTTGGAATCAATTGGTTGATTAGGCTCCTGCATAAACTAAACGCGGAAAAGGTACAACTGGCCACGTTTTCCCCCAGCTGTTTCGCCGTCTCTTACGCTCAAAAATTCAAAACTTTAGTCGAGCAAGAGAAAGACCATATACAGGAGCCAGCTAGTGCAAACAGTTGTGTTTACGAAAGACGGATGTTGGCTGGCGGATGTGGCATAGTGGCCAACGTATGCCCAAGACGTGGCCACTTTGTGGCCCCTACACACACAATAAGCCATGTTGTGCAGCACTGCACAAGCAATGACTATCTTGGATGCGAATTCCAATGAGACTCGCATTCCGGTGCACAGTATTGCAAAGCGCCTTTTCCATCTCCCTATAGTCCTCTCCACCACGGCGCGTACACGGCATGCTCGCGATTGTAACGCATTTGCAATAAATCACCTCTAACACTTGTTGGGCGGTAGGGCGCCATGATCCCGTTTCCATTTGCGTACCCGGAATCTCCAAGAAGCGCATAGCTTGCGCATGTCTCACCAGAATTGAATTGTTGGCCAAGGGCGCATTGCCTCCAAACAGTCGCATCATGTACAGAATACGACCAATTGCATCTACGACTATGCAGACGTTTAAGGC